TCCTGGAACTTGGCCTAGAACCCACAGAGATCTGCCTGCCTCTGACTCCCAAGTGCTGGGATTAAATGCATGCGCCACTACTGCCTGGCCTTGCTTTCTTTCTTATACCACCCAAGATCACCTGCCTATGGGTGGCACTGTCCATAGTGGTCAGGCTCTCTTGCAACAATCACTAATTTAAAAAAAAAAAAAAAGCCTCACAGACATCCCTACAGGCAATATGGTGGAGTCAATGCTCCAGTTAAGATTCTCTCTTCCCAGTTGACCCTATCTTGTGCCAAGCTGACAAGAAACTAACCAACATGCAAAGATACTCCTTCACAAATTCTGAGTAGATATTTTAACTAGCTATTTGTCATCTAAAAATGTCGAGGAGATTTGCTAATATTCATCACCCTCTAGAGTGCTCAAGAACTTGGGCAGTAGAGCTCCAGAGTGTGCCTTTGTCATTGGTAAGCCATTAGCATCTTCCGTATAATGACCCTCTCAAGTTCGTCAGCATTCTCTGAGCTCCTATGTCCATGTCAAGTTTCCTGTTACAGTGGTGGGGCCTACATACTACGCCTATGCTTCACCTACACTTTTGAACTCCAAGGAGACAGAGAAAGAGGTTTTCTCAAAAATAAAGGCTTCAGATTGTTAATAATCTTTGTTTTGTGTTCACATGTGTGCAGGTGTGTGTGTGTGTGTGAACACATATGGAAGCCAGAAGATGACATTGGGTGTCATTCCTCTTCAGATGCCACTCTCCTTGTTTTTTGAGGCAGGGTCTTTCACTGACAACCCCCACAAAGGAACCAGAGAGATCAGCCTGTCTCCACCTCCTCGGTGCTGGAATTACAAGAGTGTGCCAGATTAGCCTTTGTCCACCTCCTCGATGCTGGAATTACAAGTGCACCACTAGGTCCAGCTTGCTACATGGCTGCTGTAGACTAAACTCAAGTCCTCACAGGTCCCCAGCAAGCACTTATGAAGCCAGACATCTGCCCAGATTCCTGTGTTTCTATTATTCAATTGGAGCATTCATATGAGCTTTTAGAAGAAACAGACAGGGAAAGGGGGACCTCAGAAAAAAAATGATTATGCCATGATATTATATGCAGTCTCATAAAGAGTTCAAAGTGAAGAACTTAGGGCAGGTCAGCCAAATAAGAACACAACCCTAAATCCATCAGTTGCCTTGGAAATGGCTCTGCGAGGGATGCTGCCTTCTCTCTGGTACTCTACCTTAATGGATCAGCATTAGGGTGAATGCTCTCCTGAATCCAGCTATGCTGTGTGAGATGAAGGTGCATTATATGTGATGAGTATAAATGTTGTGCAAAAAATATGCCCTTACTTTGATGGTGATATTCTTCTCACCTTAGTAAATTATTCTGAACCTCCCAGAAGGATCGGGGCCGTCAGAGGAAGCCAGATCCACCAGTAGCACCCCTGCTGTACTCACCGACTGCCCCTCACTCAGCCCCATACATGGATACATTGTAGATTTCTATTTTTAATACTCACTATAATTTAAGAGGGAGGCTTTAACATCAACAGTGAAATGGCATTAGGCTGATAAACAATCTGTCTAGCATCACTTTTGTGTTTCTGTGAGTGAGCAGACCCTGGCACGAGTGTAGGGAGCTGGTTCCTGCATTATCCATTACACCAAGATGTAAATTACTTCACAGGCGCTGGGTAATCTCCATTCCTTTGATCTCTGCCTATCCTGTGGCTCATTTGGCCTGAGGAGCTGAAGCCATTCATAGGGTAACACGTCCCAGGCGGCTGGCCAGCCTTTATAAGGGATGGTTTTCTTGGTTCAGGGTCTCCGCTCTGGTAAGCTTATGCTCTCCCCTCACAAGATGCATTAAAAGCTTGTCTGCAGAAGGATCCGAGTGTCCTGCGTGTGATTTCTTGCTGGCGAGAAATACAGCGCGCGCGGGACACACGAGCAACTTCAGGGAGAAGGGAGTGACTCTAACTCACAGTTTGAGGGGATACAGTCCATCATGGCAGGGAAGGCGTGACAGCGGGGTCTGAGATGAGGTGGCTAGTCGTATTGTGTCACAGAAAGCAGAGATGAATGTTGGTATCCGCCCCCTTCTCCTTTCTATCCTGTCCAGGACTTGAGTCCATTGGGTGGTGTTGCCCACACTCAGAGTGTAAATATGTGCCCACACTCAGGTAAATATGTCTACACATATTCTCACATACATATCCGGAGGTGCATCTCCACAGTGGCTCCAAATCCTGTCAGGTTGACAGTCAAGACCAACTACCACAGGCAGAAGCACAAAGGACTGGGATTTAGGCTATATGTACATTATACATATACCAGGAAAATGAATACGAATAACTACCTACTATACCCCTCTCGTGAGTCAGTCAGCCTCCTGTCACTGTAATGAAATACTGGAGACAAACGTCTTACAAGGAGGAAGGATTCATGGCTCACAGTTAGGGAGACTCTGGCACACAACTGGCTGTCCTCTTGCTGTGAAGACACATGACCAAGTGCGTGACAATTGCTTACCTCAACATCCATAGAGCAAAGCTGAGGGAAAGGAGAGGACCAGAGCCCCGAGATCCCCTTCAAAGCATGTCCTGACAAGTGAAGACCTCCCACAATGCTTCTCGTAAAGGCACCACCTCCTCCCACTAACGTTAAACCGGGACCAGTCCTTTAAGAGATGGGCATTTATGGAATGCTCATGTAAGCCACAGTGCCCTTCAGTCCTCAGTGAGGTGCTTCCCTACCTACCACCATGTTGGGTATAAAGAGAAGGAAAGGAGGACCCTCACTTTCTCAGGAGCATGTCTCCCCCACATCAGAAACCCCCCCCCTAAGATGGCATTAGCTTATGTCAGGAGTGACTAAATGGCCGTATCCCCTCAGCAGGTCAATGTGTTCCTTTGGCACAGAGGCATAGCTTGAGAAGGCTGTCAGCATGCTGTGTTCTCATCCTGTGAGGAGCAGCGGTGTACAGTGGTGGTAACACAGAAGGACCGACTTGAACTTTAGAGTCCCACTCTACTGGTCAAGACGTTCTCACAGAAGTAATTGCATTCAACTGGGAGCACCCTGGGGAGAGTTTCATGGGCCTCTTCACTATATACACTTGCTTCAGTGTGTTAGAAAACTTAGAAGAATATGATATACATCCCAGTTAGGAGCTATGAACTGCTCAGAAGTGCAACAATTAGTGTGGTCAGCTTGAAAAAAATCTAGAATTAATCAAGAGATGAGCACATGCCTGCCATAGGGCTATCTTGATTGTGTTCAAGGACACGGAAATGGCTGCCCACTGTGGGTAGCACCATTCCCCAGCCAGGATTTTGGACTGTGTAAGCAGAAAAAAGGAGCTGAGCATCAGCACACATGCATTCGCCCCTCTGCTGCAGCTGGTAAATGTCACATGACAGGTGTGTCACATGACCAATTGTGCTCTGGACTTTCCCATCATGATGGAGTGTACCCTGCACCCTGAGCTAAAACAAACCACTTCTCCCCTTAAGTTGTTTTTGTCCGAGTATTTTACCACAGCCACAGAAAGGAAACTGTGACAGGAAAGTATGATGAGATCTTCATAAGAAAAGACCTGGAACAGGGTCAAATCTCCTGGGAGCCACTAGTGGGTCTCTATCTGTTAGAGATGCTACTAGACTAGAATAGTGATAGTGACAGTCATCTTATGTGCCTCAGTCTTCATGCCTGTCAAATGGGGATGGGAACAGTACCCATCTCATAGAATTGGGCGGAGCATTTAGACTATTGGTCAATCAGCACAGAGCATGGTGACTGGTGTTTGTGTGTTCCTCACAAGAATTAACTGCTCCTGTGTTTGTTAAGTTGGAGAGTGTAGCAAGGCTGTTTAGTAGGACCAGTCTGAGAAGAGCCTGGCCAAAGTACAAAGGAAACAGAGCTGCTCTATCTTCTGAAAGTCCAGAGAAGAGCTGGACACTCTCCTGTAGCTGAACTGCTCAGACTGTTACTGAGTTCAGAGGTGATGTGACTGGCCAGCCTCCCATCCTGCCATGGTGCCTTCCCTGCCTCTACCATGGCTTCCTCGCCATGACAGACTGTGTGTCTCTCCAAATTTCAAGCTAAATAAACCTTATCTCCTTTAAATGTCTTTTGTCAGGGTATTTTTATCACAGCAACAGACGGAACTAATGAAGATAATGTTTTTTACCTGAATGTTCATAGAAAGAAAAGTGATTTTTATATCATGACCCCAAATATTAGGTGTCAGCATGCCCACACCCAAGAAGGCTTTCCTTGAAGACTGTTACTGATACAGAATATGTAGCAGCCACTCTCCACAGTGCTGCATGAGCACCATCGATTTTAGGTCAATCCACGGCACTTACTCAGCGACCGCCGCATCTGTATGTTCTGCATCCTGTCTTACAATTTCAACATAAATTAAAATTTAATGCTTCTCTTACATTAAATATTTATATGATACAAACCTATTCTCCACAGATCTGTGACTTAAAAAAACAAAACAAAAACAAAAGGATGATTTCCAATAAAAAAGAATGACTTGAGATTTTTAAACTGTGTCACGGTCAAATAAGCAAAAGTTGATCAAATGACCTTCATGAGCATGAAGGTGAGGGCTTAGCTTTATAAAAATTCCCTGGAGTTCTCTGCCCAAAGTCAAAGAAGGAATTTCTCTGGGATAGTTGAGGTCAAGAGCATTGAGACCTTGGAAAGTGCATCATCACCCGTGAGCTTCCTTTCTCCCAAGCACATCTGGTCAATGTGGAAGTTTTCATACCACTATGCAATGTAAGAACAATAAAAACTATACTTAAGGGCCTGGGCAGATGGCTCAGAGGTTAAGAGCGATGGCTCACTTACTGCTCTTACAGAGAACCTGGGTTCAATTCCCTGTACCTACATGCATCTCACAGTCACCTGTAACACCACACACACACACACACACACACACACACACACATACACACACACACAATATATATTTTAAAGAATACAATACTTCACATTTAGAGTTTTTGGCTTTATTATATCATTCTCCCAAATTGAGAGCTGTGCAAAGAACACCAAAAAATACTTTGATTGAAAAATTTTTTATGTTTCTGAGGTTATACTTTATTTCTTCACTTACTTGGAATCAAAGTCAAGGCATTGTTCATGCTAGGCAGGTGCTCTGCTGTTGAGCTATGTCCCCAGGCTATCGTGTCATGGTTTATGTGATCATGTAAAACATTTCATTCTTTCTTTTAAAACATCCCATTTGTATCATTCTTGTTGTGACAACTTTATGAAGGGGACAATAGATATTAAGCCTTAAATATTTCATCCTTTCCCTTGTCTCATTTTGATGACTACTGTAGGCTTCACAGCCATTTCCTGGTACATCTGTGGTGTTAATGGCATTCAGAGGGTGGTCAGACATTGGGAGGAGCTGTGAAAGTGTGCCTGGTCATGAGTGAAGGGTGGCAGTAGCTTGGAGGTGGAGAGGGAGGTCACTGGGGTTTAGAGGCTCCAGAAGGCAGCATCCCTGAGTAAGGCGTCTGGTGCTGGCAGAAGGATGGGGGACTCATTTGTAAAGTCCTCCTTTGTTGCTTCCAGGAGTCATGGTGACTTGGTGGCTTTTGACGTTGAAGCTCCTTTTAGATGTGCTTCTGTGCTGAGGTGAGGCTTCCTGTGGCCACCCAGGACTGTCTCCACAACTTCCTTTATAGTCTTTTGCTAACTCTGGCAGCTCTTCTCATTTCTCCAATAGGAAATCTACTCCTGGGGCATCAGTATGCGAGGTAGACTTTGCCAAGTTCTGGTGGGGATGGAAGAGACAACAGTTTCATACGGTGGACCACTTTGCTTGTCTCTTCACGTCCCTTCCTTCTCCCAGGGGTATGCCTTCCAGTACTCCACGATCTTCCAGACCCGACTATACCCAAGCCCACCGACCTCCCTAGACATCCGTGTGGACCGTGCATTGGTTACTTTCCATTGCCGTGACCAAAGTCCCCAACAGAAACAACCTGAGAGAGGAGACATTTATTTTGTCTCGAGGTTTCACAATATGAGTCCATTATGAACAGTTAGGCCACAGACAGAGAGAAAGCAGGGAAAGGGGGATGTCAGCATTGGCCTTGGTCTCCTAGGTGATTTAAAGTCAGTCAAGCTGATGGTGGCAATGATGCATCTACGGACTGTGTATAAGTGTTTTTCACTAGTGCATAAAATTCAAAAAAGAAAATCAATTATATTTTAATTATTTATGACTACAATTCTGTAGTTGATTTTTCTGGCATGACTATGAACCAAATCCCCATTGTGTCTCTGAACCGCCTGTCAATGCTGTGTCAGTGCATTCTAATTTTAAAGGAGCTTTTATGTCAAAAAAAAAAAAAAAGTTTGGGCAGTTTTGTAGTAAGATGTATGCCTGGGAGTGTCATCTCTAAACCCAAGTCAACATGGGAAGATCTAGGCACAACTTGAATCACCACCGGGTTAGTTCAGAATGCAAAGTCCTGTGTGTGTGTGTGTGGGGGGTGCAATCACTGAGTGTTTGTTGTGTTCCTGCTGTGGCCAGACTCAGAGCAGGATGCTGGGCTTAACTGTGAAACAAGACAGGCAAGGTCTCCATCCTCATGAAGTCTGTGGCCTGAAGGGGAGGCAGTAATCACACAAGCTCAAACAGAATGTGACGGGTGGCTGGGGAATTGCGGTGGAGTAAGATAATATTCCAACATTCCCAGGAGACTAGAGACAGGGTGGGAATGGGGAAGGGGAGATCTTCAGGGCAGGGGTAACAGCAAATGTGTAGAGGTGAGGCACTGAGGGAAGCAGGCAGCATGGGGGGGGCGGTCAAGAAAGAGCTTAGGCCTGATATGCTGTCATATGCCTTGAATCTTAGCATTCAGGCTTAGGAGGAGGAGGAGGCAGCAAGCCTGCCTGTCTCAAAAAGGGAAGGGGGGAGGGGAAGAGGGGAAAAAAGTAAAGAAGGGGGAGGGGAGAGAGGAAAATTCATCTGTGGCTTGGACCCAGAATTCAGAGCAGCAGGGTGGGCAGGCGTGGCCCCGCAGGGCTAGAGAGGAAATGCCAGTGTGTGAGTCCCCCATCTTTGGTTTTCTTTGGTTTTGATTTGAGACAGACTCTTTCTACAAAACTTAGAACTCACTATGTAGACTTTGCTATGTGACCTCAAATTCAGAGATCTGTTTGCCCCTGCCTCCCGTGTGCAGCCATTAAAGGTGTGTGCCGTCTTCGGCTTTCTAAACCTTTTCAGTTTGTCCCCTGTTTCCTCATACTCAGCTGAGACCCAGCCTCAGTCTGACCTCGGGCTTGCATTCTGACCACACCTCTGTTTGCTAGAGGCCTGGGTAGCTGCATAGCATGGCTGTCAGTCCCTCTGCACCTAGTTCAACACTCAGAACTCCCTCTGGTCATCTCCCAAGCACCTACACTGAGCTCAGGTGATCTCTGAGTGTGGAATACCTATGCATGTGTTGTACATTATCAGTAGTGGCTACCTTTTCACTTAATTGCTTGTGCATACAACAAAAAATATATAGCACCTGGACTCTCTGCCATATACCCTGGATCCTAAATATGAATGACCAGATCAGTTTAATACTTGAAGTATCTGAGCACAGTCTCAAGATGAGAGTGCAACAGACAGACCAAGCATCACAGAGGGGGCGGCACCATACCTGTCATTCAAAACCCATTCCTAACTCTTAACGCAACCCTTGACTTGTAAATAGATGCCCACGAGGCATGCGATGATTGACGTGCATATTTTCCAGTGCACAGTGGGCTATGATAGCATGGAAACAGGACATATCATCAGATGGGGCCAGCGGCGAGGAATGCACGGCTGACTTTGGAGTCTAGGTTAGATAGAATGCCATCATTTTGGCTGATGGTGTGATTTTTCTCAGTGGGTACTCACCCGCTCTCTTCAGAACAGAACTACTGGGTGATTTTAAGAAAGGTTTCTAAAGACAAATATATAGAGCAGTGAGAATGTAACAGATAACAGAAAATGATTGAAACGATTAGCTATGAGCTTCATCATGGACTGGGGAAGGGAAGAAAGAAACTCAGAGGGAACAAACGAGAGCACTCAAGGCACCAGAGGTCTCCATAAGATTTAAAGACTAGAGAATGGGGTAATAGTGAAGAAATGGGACCAAAAGAGAATATTAATATGAGGAGAAGATAATGGTGGCTAAGGTTACAAAGGTGGAGCTGTGCTGAGCAATTCCAGCTTCCAGCGAGAATGCTTAGGGAGAGCCGAGGATGTCAAATCCATCCGCTGTGCTTGAGTCATGAGTGTGTCATCCTTGCTTTGGAGGAGCATGGCTGGAGCAGGACTGAAGGGAGGAGTCAGAGACCAAAGACTCCAGCGGGGCAGTGTCAGGAACAGCATCACAGGAGGGGAGACCCAAAGTATGCTCCTCCAAAGTGTGTCTTAGGCAGGATTCTCTGAGAAATCAGAGCCTTAGCCATTGGCTTACATGCACATTGTTGGTTTTTGGAACAAGATCCCAGGGAAGAGGAGTGGGAGAAGAGTGAGGGCGTGGCAGAGAGAGAGGGAGAGAGAGAAGCGAGAGAGAGAGAGAGAGAGAGAGAGAGAGAGCAATGCAAGATACACACTTCAGTAATTATCACTATAAGTGAATAGATTTTTGCCCTGATTTCAGAAACTTCCCAGAAGTCACGTGGAACAAACCTCAGGATGTATCCAGTTTCTTCTTTCTCTGTCAGGGGTGCTTAGTAAGGGTGTGAACTCCTGGCAGTAGCATCCTTTTGGCAGGTTTCTTCAAGTCTCTCCCTCTAAGGCTCTTGGAAGATCCAGACAGAAATTGGAATGACATGTTGCAGCTAAGACATCACACTGCCAGGTTTCCACCTGCCTGGAGCTGTTTGTCATAGCAGTGGCTGGAGAAAACCGTGGGCAGAGAGAATGCAAAGGGTAGGCACAGGAAGTGGCCATCACGAAGGGCAGAGAAGTCACTGTCAGTAAGCAACAGATGGGAAAACAAACAAAACAACAACAACAACAAAAACAGTAAGGCAACAGCATCAAGGCTACTCCAGGTGGGTGACATTAGTGGCCAAATATTCGGTTTCCGCCTTGACCCAGAACTTGGAGGAAAAAATGTGGGTGAAAAGTCCATCTGGCAAGTGAGCAAGAGCAGAGTGCAAAGAAGAGGCCCAGGTGGGATGGTTCCTGGCCATCCTAGACCATGCAGGTTCAGCCAGTTCCAGGAACCAAATCACCACAAGGCTGGCCATGAAATCAAGCTGCAGTTTGAGCAAGGATATGGAGGAATCAAGAGAAACAGTATCTGTTCTCAGAGAAGTCTACCTAGGTAAGACTGGTGATACACTTAAGGTTTTTCTGGGGAGACTCTAAACAGTGATTCTCAACCTGTGGGTCACGACCCCCACAGGGGTCATATATCAGACATCCTGCATATCATACATTTACATTACAATTCATAACAGCAGTGAAGTTAAAGCTATGAAGTAGTGATGAAATAATTTTATGCTTGTGTGGGGTTACCACAGCATGGGAACTGTATTAAAGGATGGTAGCATTAGGAAGGTTGGGAACCACTGTATTGGGGGTCGCAGCATTTGGAGGTTGAGAACTACTTCTGTAGACAGCAAGCATAAAGACACCATTTATCAGAGCCACTTGGCAGTTTTATTTACCAAGGTGAATTAATAAATTAGCATCCTGATTTCGACCGTACTCTATGGGGAGTTTGTTTAGCTAGTTAAGCTTCCCAAGACTAAATCACTCTGGGCTTGGTACTAAGTCAAATCTATGAAACTCCAAAGCATCAGATTCCAGCTTTTCCCAGTGACTGCAGTAAAGAGCACATGGCCAGAGAGGTCGGCCTCAGGTCTTCGCCCGATGATTTGCAGCTCACCTTCTGACTCAGGGCGCTGCTTCTGTGTGATGTTCCGTCACTCACAAGTAAAAGTATGTTTATGCACCACTTGTCACCTTTTCCTGTATAGGTCCCCTGTATGCTCAAGCCAACCTGTGTATTTCTGGCCTCGGTTTCTGCAGGTCAGGGCTCTAGCATGCCTTGCTCGGCCCCTTGTACCTCATGTCTTTAATGGACTGGAGTCCAGATACCAGCTGCAATTGTTCATCTGAAGATCTCACTGGTCGGGATCTCTTTCCGAGTTCTCGTGATGGTTGGAAGCATTTAAGTTTGTGTGGATTGTCTCTTGTGATACTTTGCCGAGGAGTCTGTGTCTTGTCACCCCAGATAGGTAATAACAGACCAAAGAAACGATGCAACCTATGTCCAACTTGGGAAAACAAGGAGTTTACTTAATGAAGCTTGAGTGAGGTTTGCATATGGGAGCTTGACAGACTCAGAGCTTGCAGCACTGAGAAACTTACCCCAAAATGAGGGATTCATGAAAACAGTATCACTGGTTCCCTGCACACGGACAGGTGCTATACCACTGAGGAGCTTCTCCATAAGTTCAAGGCCAACCTGGTCTACACAGTGAATTCCAGACCAACCAGGGGCTATATAAGTGAAACCTTGTCCAAAAAAAAAAAAAAAAAAAGAAAGAAAGAAAGAAAGAAAAGAAAGAGAAAAAGGAAGGGAAGGAACGAAGGAACGAAGGAAAAAGAAAGAAGGCCTTAGACAAATTTCTTCTACGGCTATGATGTAATGGGGGGGGGGTTCAGATTTCTCCTACTCACATCTCATTGGTAAGAACGTGGACATGTGACCACAGAAAGGTTAGGTGGAGGCTGGGAAGTGAAATTTCTTGTCAGATATCCTTGAATCCTATCAAAACCCAGAGTCAGGGGCTTTTATATGCAAAGAGGAGGAACTAGAAAGGGGGTGATAAGCAGGCTCCACGCCAGTAACCACGAAAGGGTGGGAAGTTTAATTTGTTATTTTCAGATCATCCAGTGTGTGTCTGTTCATCCCAGCGTCCCATGGTTAGAACCACCAGCCTGACAGCCACAGGTGCAGTGGCGGCATGAATATCCTGGGATAACCAACCACTATCTGATTGTACTACAGGCCCTGGGATAACCAACTGCTGTCTGATTGTATTACAGGCCCTGGGATAACCAACCGCTGTCTGATTGTATTACAGACCCCTTTGCAGGAGGAAACTCATCTCTATCACTAGAAATCTTGTGGCTAAGGAGGTGATGGGGAGAAGCTGCTGTCTTTACATTCTTTTTGTAGCTGCAATGGTTATCTAGAACATGTTATACACAGCAGACTGTGTGGGTAACAACAGATGAACAATTTTCTACTTGATTAAATTTGAGCCAGGCAGTGGTGGTTCACACCTTTAATCCCAGCACTCTATAGGCAGAGGCAGGCAGATCTCTGTGAGTCTGAGGCCAGTCTGGTCTCCAGAGTGAGTTCCAGGACAGCCAGGCTTACACAGAGAAACCCTGTCTCAAAAAAAAAAAAATTAATTTGAGTGCAAGTGTGGTTTGACTTGTCTATAATTCTAACACTTGAGAAGTGGGAGCAGCAAGAACAGGAATCCAAGATCAAACTCAGCTATATCGTGAGTTTAAGGCCAGCCTGGAATAGATGAGGCCACACATATCTCCTAATTTGGGGTTCTACTCCAGTGTTATGTTTTCCCAAACTAGAAAGAAAATTTAAATAAAACTGTTGTTAAATGCTTGTTTTTGTTGTTTTGTTTTAATTTTGTTGTTGTTTGTTTTTTGTTTTTGTTTTTTGAGACAGGATTTCTCTGTGTAGCACCTGGATATCCTGGAACTTGATTTGTAGATCAGACTGTTCTCAAATCAGAGATCCACCTGCCTCTGCCTCCTAAGGGCTGGGATTAAAGGTGTGCGCCAGCACCGTGAAGCCTAAATACTTGTTAAAAATTGAACTTATAAAGTAGATGACTGGATAATTGCTAAGATAAATGGACTCTTTCGTTTTATACATCTAATCACAAGTGCATCAAATCAAGACAGCCCCTAGGACATTTATTTTTAAGATACTAAATCATTAAAAATTCTACATTCCCTCACTAACATCAAACAGAGTACGGGCATCTAAGTACTGATTCAATTTTGATTGTCATATGTCTGTGTCAGAGGGCATTTCCAGCCGCTGGCAGTGGGTGAACCCAGCTAACCCAAGGAGCCTGAACGATGCCCAGCATTTTGAGTGTTTTTTAACATATGTGCGGTCTTTCAGTCATACACTTACTTAATAGTGTGAAGCCTTTTCTGTTTGCAGAAAGACTTGAGGCGTGTGAGTGCTTTTCCTGCATGCACACATGTAGTTCGTGTGTCTGGTGTCCACCAGGGACAAGAGGTAGGTGTTGGATCTCCTGGACCTGGAGTTACAGATGTTTGTGAGCTGCTGTTTGGGTGCTGGGAACTGAAGCTATGTTCTCTGTAAGAGTGGCAAGTGCTTCTTTGACTGCATAGCCACCTGCAGAGTCCCACAAATGTATTTAATCATCTAGCTAGTGGGGGACAGCAATGGCGGTGGTGGAATGTGTTAGTGTGTGTGTGTGTGTGTGTGTGTGTGTGTGTGTGTGTGTGTGTGTGTAGAGGTATTTAATCATTTAGTTAATGGGGGAGGTGATGGTGGTGGTAGTGTGTGTTAGTGTGTGTGTGTGTGTGTGTGTGTGTGTGTGTGTGTGTGTGTGTGTAGTGAGTGGTATTTAATCATTTAGTTAATGGGGGAGGTGATGGTGGTGGTAGTGCGTGTTAGTGTGTGTTAGTGTGTGTGTGTGTGTGGTATGTGCATGTGAAGCTCAGAGGACAATCATTTCTCAGGCATCAGACACCACTTTGAGTTTTTTGAGACAGGTTCTCTCGATAGCCTGCTCTTGAGTTCTCCAGGTAAGCAAGACTGGTGGGGCAGTAAGGCCCTGGAATCCACCGTGTTGGCCTCCCCGGCACTGGAATGACAAGCACACATCACAGGCTCAGCTCTTTTTACATGGCTCCTGGGGACCAAACTCATGTCCTCACGCTTCCAGAGTAAGTGCTTTCCTGGTTGAGCTCTCTCCCCGGCCCACAGATGGAGTTTTGTATCTTTCTACTTAGCTTTATTTTAAAAATTTTCCCTGTGTGTTGTAACAAAACTTTTGAAAGTTGACACATTTATCACCTCCTCTCAGCTGACCTCAGGGCTGTGACTGAGGCTGTCTCCATTAACAAACTGAACACCCTGCAGAGCCTGCACACCTGGCTGCTGGTCTGCTCGGTGTCCTACCCCCGTGGTCACCTGGCAGTGATGTGTCCATGTGAAAGAGCCCTGGTGACAGTCAGCATTTGCGTCACAGAGTGAAAAGACAAGTGTAGCAGGCTGCAATCAGGAAAAAAGGGAGCTGTGTCCTCATGAGCACTGACATCACCACACACCAATGGAAGCCACGGCAATGAGAGAATGGTGCGAAACCAGAGTCACTTGAACACTGTAACTGAGAGAGGGCAGAACAATGGGGAGGTGCCTGGGACAAATGGTACCGCTGGGAACAGCAGGAAACAGTGGCTCTGGTGTAATTAAAACTGGGCCTTGAGGTGGCCATGGTCAAGGATCTCAATGGTCCTGGCACCCAGGGCATTAGTCACATGGTACTCATCAGGTGACACCCTAGCCTGAACCTGAATATCGGCTGACACCGTAGAAACACTGTTCCTCTGGTCCAGCATTTGCCAACACTGCTGTTAATAATTAACCTAGCATTGACAATGCGTCTGTGCACACCTTCAGACAGAGCCTTTCAGCAGAGTCTTTCCACCCACTTGGCCACACCCTTCCTGGTAATTTTTGTATTGTTACACAGCAGAACATCAACACTGTTCGGTACTGGAACTTTCTGAGAGAAAGGCCTCCTCAGAAGGCCAAAGCTGTGTCCTATTCAGTGTCCTGTGGTACAGAGGTAGCCCCTTAAAAGCAGAAAACACTAAGCCTGACAGGTAGTTATCCAAGTAGGTCCAGGGTATAGGGAATTTCATCTTTGCTGGGACAAGAGTTGCTCTTTGGTTTTGTTAGATAAGGCAACCTTGAACTTATGCAGTGATCCTCCTGCCTCTGCCTCCCTAGTGTTGGAGTCAGAGGTGTGTGCACTGCTATGACCTGTTCAATGCTGCCCTTCAAGTGAAGATGGTTAATTTATTAGAGCATAAGTCAGAATTCCCTGGGGATGTCCTTCATAAGAAATGTATTCAGGACTCATCCTTGGAATGGGTTAACATGGAGTCTGGGCATATATTTCAGAGTCCTCCTCAGGTAATAATGACGTGTGCTCTTGGTTTTCTGCCACAGGAGAGGCACTTAGCCAGCATGGCTGCTGTGCTGTATTTTCCTTCCCAAACATGGAGTTTCCACTTTGAGAGAACCCACCCATGTGATCATTCTGGTGTATTTAAAGTACGATGGAAAGACCCTTCCTGCCCAGGCTTGCCCAGCTTGTCTCAGGAGATAACAGCCCCCAGGGCCAACTCCACTGTTTCCATTACTAGGCCGTGGAGCAGAGGCAATGTTACTTTGGAGCAGAGGAGATAGCTCCAAAGCCAGCCTGGGGTCCTTGGACACATGGGCATCAGCCTCAGTCAGGCTTCTTCCATGGGGTTACGGTGTTCTTCTCTACCTGCTTCTACTGGGAATATCACTGAAATCAGAACATTGAGGCACAGGTGGGACGAGCTCTGAAGACTTCCAGAAGTATTTCCATTGGGTAGGGATGCAGCATTTCAACACAAACTCTCTTGCCCTTTAAAAGTATCTTTTTTTTCATTTATTTTACCCCCTCTGTCATGCCGGCCAACAGCTGTATTTGCAACTGCCTGTAAAATCGTGCCCTGTGCATCCAAGATAGCACCATTACAAAAATAGCATCCTAGGGGAAAGACTGAAGTCTATTAAAGGCACAAAACCATATTAAGATTAAAAAAAAACAAACAGAATAAAAGAGAAACTACTTTGGACTCTATCCAGTAAGCCATTCATTTCGTTTTTGTCCCAGTGTCTGTATGACAAGGAAGTTGAATTAAATGGCCTTCTAAATTCCTTCTCGACTTCAGGTCTTGTAAATCTATTACCCGTGTGTGGTACAAGAGTCTGTGTTCTCTGTGATGTCAAATGAGTATCTCCCAGGAGATAGCTCCAAAGCCAGCCTGGGGTCCTTGGACACATGGGCATCAGCCTCAGTCAGGCTTCTTCCATGGGGTTACGGTGTTCTTCTCTACCTGAACGTTTGCTGTTGGAATCCAGCCCCCATGGGGTCTCTAAGAGTTGTTTTCCAGCATAACCACAGGTACCTCCTGTTTTCCTGACCTCACCCCACTGGCATCAATATCCTGTTGTGAACCCTTTGACCTGGGGTTTTTGTAAGTTTGTATATAAGGCTGCTCCACAATAAAGGTGAAGGACATTCTCTCAGAAAAGGACCAGGAGTCTTGTTCATCCAAATCTCCAGGCTTTCGCCCAATACTCAGACTTAGTGGCCAAGAGCAGCCACAGTTTGCTCCTTGCAGGGTGGAGTTAGCATGATTAGCGCATGGTCCCACCACTGGGGGGTCTGGACAACTAGTTCTGCTGTCTTAGATCCCAGCACTGGTTGCCATTATCTGTGCTTGCCTCGATACATAACCTGCTTGCCCAGCCCCTGCTGGCTTTGGCTTGTGCTTTGTTTTCTTCTAGTCATCATTCAACAAACACTAGGTGTGTGTTCTGCTCGTGCACTGTCCTTGGCAGCCAGTGAGAGATGAAGAGGGGGAAAGCAAGCCCTTCCTAGTAGAGCCCGTGTCTAACTGTGTCCCAGCCTGGCCTTTGAAAGCTGCCTAAACCTATCTTTCTGCTGGGAAGAATAAATAAATAAATAAATAAATAAATAAATAAATAAATAAATACCCAGAACCCCGTGGCCAGGACTCACTGCAGCACCTGTGGATTGAAGCCTCTCGTTTCTTCCTCCTTTCCTCCCTGCTTCTAGTCTTCTTCCCTTTCCCTGTCCTTTACCCCTTTCTGCACCCCTACAGCCTGCCCCCTCCCCTCTTCTCTCTTCACCCCTACCCTCTTCTCATTTTCTTTCTCTCCCCTCCCCCACGTGGTCACCCGACCTCTTCCTGTTCTGGACATCTGGTCTTGGCTTCCTCCGCCAACTTGACACTCCATTGTCATGTGTGGCCTGTTCCTATTGAGCAATGACAGAAGGAGAGAATCCAGTCACCTGTGCCTCGGCCATTCATACTCAGGAACATTTTTGTTAAACCTGCTCTCAAAGCATCGAGTTTTCCATGTGTCACAATTAAAAACCGGAGCCCACGGAGCAGATGGCTGCGTGGGGAATCCAGCCGTGGAACATCAATGGCACTGAAGTGATAGCAGTTTCCCACCAGGCTCCGACACATGGAGGAGCATTTTGCAAAAACTGAGTGATGAGGAGTGCTCTGCCAGGGCTCCTCTGCTTGCCTTTTCTGTGCAGACCTGCTGCCACCAGGAGTGATGGCACTGACAGGCACAGCCAGCTTTCCTTGGAAACATCCATTCTGGGTCTCTGTTATGTGTCCCTCTGCTTCCCCTCCCCCAACAGCCGCACCCCAGCAAGAATTTAATATGCAGCACATATGTGCACTTCCCTTTGGCTGGGACTGAGCTCTGGAACCCCAAGGCTGCTATGCAAACCTATGGGCTGATCCTCCTCTCCAGTCTCCTCTAAAACCAGACTCCCCTACAGCAGGGAGAGAGAAGGAGACACAGGCCCATGGCAGGACATGGGGATGTTTATCCAGAAGTTGGCGGAGGAGGCTGTAACCAAGCCTCCACCACAGTCAGTGAAAGGTCAGGCTCAGTTTCTCTTTAAGAAAGGAGACTTGGAAGTTGCTGTTTCCCAACCCAGAGAATTCCAAAGGAGAGCTGCCATGGAAACTGCTGTGACCAACACACTGGGTTATAAATAACAAAGGCATCTAGTATGTCGTCACCTGCTCACGCCTAGGTCCTCTCTTTGGATCCCTCTGTCCCCACTCCCTGCCCCCAGGGTAGAGTCTCAATCATTGAGCTGATCATCAAAGTTTCCCTTCTGCCTCCAACAAAGTCGAGTGAAAGCAAGCTAGAACCACAGGCAGATGGCCATCATCCAAAGGGCCCTGCGCCAGTCTCCTCTCTTTTTCCCCACATTGACAAATCATGGCTACTTCCCCTGGCTGTCACCAGGTTAAGACTGGAGAAGAGCATGAATAACTACAGGTGGGCAGAGCTAGCACCGGAGTCCCAGGGGCTGGCTACCACCAGCTCTTGGCCCTGGTACGTGCATTGTGACTGGTCTCCAATTGTCCAACAAGGAAATTACATGACAAAGAAGCTCAGAATTTGCCTTAGGTTACCCAAGCCATAATCTGGCAGGGATCCTAACTCAGGAATCTTGTGACTCCGAAGGCTAATAGATAAAATAGTTGAATTGCTCTTAAAATCTTGGAATGTACTTTTATAAATTCATTTAGACAATCAATACATTTTTAGTACCTTTGTGTCAGGGGTTTACTATACTTCAATAAAAATTTCTTGGCCTCATCATATTTAGACTCTGGTGGAAGGGATGGAACAAAGTTATTTCAGAGATTTTTTTTTTTTTTTTGTCTTTAAAATTGTGTGTGTGTGTGCTGCCAGAGGAGCTAGGAAACGAGGAGGACCCCAAGAGAAGATTGCGTAGTCCCTGGAAGAAGGGAAGGGCGACAAGAACCCCTGACCAAAGTGGGAGGAGGGGAGAGGAAGGATGTGGGAAGGGAAGAATGGAGGGGGGAGGAGAACAAGAGGACTGAGACAAGGGAGGAATAGAGGAGGGCAAGAAAGGAGAGGCCCTGATAGAGGGAGACAGTACAGGTTTGGAGAGAGAGCTGGCACAGGGGAAATGTTAGGGGTTCCACAGGGATGACCCCAACTAAGAATCCAAGCAGTGGTGGAGAAAATGCCATTGATAACTTTCCCCTATAATGAGATTGGTGTCTACCTTGGTTACCATTCCTGGAGCCTTCATCCAGTAGCTTTTCAAAGCAGAAACAGGTACCCACAGCTAAGCACTGAACCATACCCCTGAAATCCAGTTGTGGAGAGGGAGGAGGGATGAACAAAGGAGCTAAGATGGGACTGGAGAGACCTGCAGAAACAGTTGACCTGACCTAGTGAGAGCATGGAGACCCTAGTCATAAAGCTGGGGAAATAGCATTGAGCCAAACCAAGCCCTCTGAATGTGGGTGCCAGCTCGGAGGCCAAGACAGTCTATGGGACCTCTGACAGTGGAGCCAGTCTTTAACCCTAGAGCACAAATGGACTTTGGGAGCCCGTTCCCTATGGAGGGATACTATTGCAGCCCAGATACAGCAAGGAGGGCCTAGGCCCTCCCCCAAACTATATGACAGACTTTGAAGGTCCCTGGTGGAGGGCCTCACTATCCCTGGGGAGGAGTTGGGGGATGGGTTGGGGAGGTTGATGGGGAACATGGAGGGTTGGAGGGCAAGGGAATGGGGGGATGGATATGTAAATATGAGTAGTAATTAAAGAATTTTTAAAAATCAATAAAAATGGTGTATGTGCATGTTTATGTGTGTATGTGTGTGTGTGTATGTTTGTAAGTGTGTGTGTGTGTGTGTGTGTGTAGAAGCATGTATGTGGAGGTCAGAGGACAACTTTCAGGAGTCAGCTCTCTCATTCTAACTCATGAGTCCCAGGAATTGAACTCAGGTCCTCAGGCTTAGCAAGAAGCACCCTGACACACTGAGCCACCCCGACAGCCTAAGAGTTTTTAATTGCTATTTATCTCCCAACTGTGGAAAGTGCTGCAGAGACTGTAAAACTTCCAAATGAAGCTGAATCGATTACAGTGATGAAAGCCAGGAAACTCAGCCACCAAGGAATCATATTAGCAGATAAGTAGACATCCATTCCAACGGTGGATTTGACAGTTGCTAGATGCCCGTGTCATCAGTCACTGTTCTGGGACTCCTGGAACACTAGAGGGATCAGATGACTGTTGGTTGATATATAAGTATATATGACATATATAACTATATATAACTATATATATATATATATATATATATATATATAACAGGCCAAGCTCTGTGTATATTAAACATGCCTTGTAGACAAGGACACTAACTTTGCAGGTGGTGAATTGCTTAGTGAATTCAAGGTCGTTGCCCAGAGTGGACAACCAAATAATTCCTCAGGAGAGGTGTGAGAATTGTAGAGAAAGACTCAAGACATCGTCTGCCTTTCTATACTTCAAGCAACAGCTGCCAGCACATCTGCCAGTGTGCTTGTCTTTCTTAGAGAAAGACTGTAATTAGTGTAATGAATTTTGAATTACCATGTATTTATTACACAGATAGACTGGTTTCATTACTACATGCTTTGTATATTTATATCAAATATCGGCTTTGTTGCTCCTATCTACTCTCTGCTGCCCTCTCTTATCTGTTATCTCTTTCTCTCTTGATCAAATCTTCCCTCCATATCCTATCCTATCTCTCTCTCTTTCTGTGTGTGTGTGTGCGCATTTACATGTGTTTTAAATCTAGAATCCACATATGCAGTAAAACATACAATATTTGTCTTCTATTTGGCGTATTTGACTTAACATGGTGATCTTTAGCTCCATCCATTTTCCTACAAATGATACCATTTTGTTCTTTACAGCTTTATTGTATAGAGCATATATATATATATATATATATATATATATATATATATAAGAGAGACTGAGACAGCAGAGACCCCTGTATCCAATCATTGGTTGGTTGACAGCTAGTGTCTTAGGGTTTCTATAGCCATGAAGAAACACCATGACCACAGCAAATCTTATAAAGGAAAACATCTAATTGGGGTAGCTCGCTTACAGTTCAGAGTTTAGTCATTATTGTCATGGCAGGACGCATGGTGGCATGCAGGTAGACATGGTGCTGGGGCTGAGAGTCCTAACATCTTGATCCAAAGGCAACAGGAAATGAACTGAGACACTGGGTGTGGCTGGAACATATAGGAGACCTCAAAGCCCGCCCCCACAGTGACACACTTCCTCCAACAAGGCCACACCTCCTCATAGTGCCACTCCCTTTGGGGGCATTTTTCTTCAAACCACCACATCTAGTGTGAGTCCACAATCTGGATATGCATAAGGTTTTTAATTTAATGCAGCCACATTGGTCAGTTCTTCCCAATATTTCCATTGTTTCTGTTAGAATTATTTTCATGAAGTCCTGGCCTGTGCCTGTTGAAGTGTTTTACTGTTCTCTTCCAGCTACTTCAGTTTTCAGGTGCTGGCGCTGTGGCCATAACCTAGTTTCCTGGGATTTTCAGCCCTTTTGTCATTTTTTGTGATCCCCAAAGCTCTCCTTTCCTTCCTCCTCCATAGCCTGTCTTTTGCTATTCTGATTTTTCACTCAGTCTCACAGGGAGGAAGCTTCTAATTCACCTTCTCTTGTATAACACTACACCTGGGGAGACATGAGCAAATATTTACTCACACCCCATATAGGGTGTGACAACAGAGCGCTAGCCCGGTTTGGTAACAATACCACTGAAGCACGACTTGGTGAACCAATGAGGTTATTGGGTTACTCACAGGAATGTGGACGGCGGTTACTTACAGGAGTAGGAATAACTCAAAGGCAGTTGCATCACTCAGAATCCCCCTTGGCATGGGCCATGACTCGTGAAAGCTAGAACCGAGACTATTTGCAGGCAGCTCAATAGGCTACAGAATCTCTTTTTAGCAGTCGTTACTGCTTACATATCCCTGGGAGGAGGGTGGTCTGTGCATCTGACAAGTCTCAGGGACTTCCCGATACTTGTCAGTTGTTAACTTCCTGCATCTTAATGAGCCTTCCCTTAGAACTTCTCAAGACTGACCCATCTTCCCTCAGAAATAGAAAGTTTCAGTTTGGAGGAATTCATTACATGACACCATCCTAACCTGGAAGACTCCAGACTTCCCCCCTTGAACCTGTAGCTTCTCTTAGAAAGGATAGTGCTAAGAGCAATGTCCAGAAGGTGAGGCTGCCCGGGATGTCCATATGCCTTAGCACAGAAAAGGGAAATGACTCAGCACTTGGATAATGAAGTTGTGGTTAGACACAGGGGCGAAATGAAGCCTTAGCTTGTCACGTGGACCACACTGATTCACAAAGTGACAGGTAACGGTTTTGATGAGACTTCACTGTGGCTGCTGAGGTGAATGTTGGCAGCAAACGGTACCAATAATGGTTCAAATACTGCCTTTGCCACTTGCCAGCTACATCATTTTAGATGTTACTTAACTTCTGTTGTTTTCCTATTTCGAACAGAGGGTAAAAATAGAACCTACCTCCTGGGGTCATTGTGAGAGTTCACTGAGTTAGTGCTGAGAAGGCAGGAAGTTGATTAATGTCTGGCTCCAGAGAAACACTCTACGAAGAGAACTGTTTAGTTAGGATTGTGATCCACGGGCGGGTTCTCACCTTTTGCCGCAATGGGTTAGCAGTTTGATACAGTTCAATATTATTTGAGAGTTCTTGTTGCCTTTTCACAGCGATAGTTGGGGCAGTGCAGAAATAACTCCCTGCCATGTTGAAAGGTCACGGCTAACTGACAAAGGGCTTTTGTGTTTCTTAACAACATCTGATTCTGTTTTCTTTTGCTTTACCATTCTGGGGATTGAACCCTGAACCTTGAACATGCTAGGCAAGCTGGACTGAACTACACCCAGAGCCCTTCAAGAAAAAGTGTGAATCAGATCTGGGTGTGGTGGTATGCCCCTGAGGTCTCAACACTCAGGAGCCTGAGGGAGGAAGAGCCACACTTTAGACCAGGCTGGGTTAACTGGGAGTTCCAGGCAAGCCTGGGCAACATAAACAGAGCCCTTTTAAAAAGTAAGTGTTGCTGCCAGCATGAAAGTAACTGCTAGGAACTTGTTTCCATTAATATGAGCTAACTTTTAGAGGTGGAGTTAGGAAAAGACATTACGCCAAACTCATGCCCCAGCCTTTCAGTTTAAGAGGAAAGCAGCCATGCGAAGTATGCGCTTCCTCGGGGGAGATTATTATCTCTGGCAGCCTTCTGAGTGATTTGTCAAAATGGAATACAACCCAAAAGCTGAGTCCTCTGGGGCTTTAGAGTTATAAATGGGACAAGATGAACCCCGAGAGGCTGACTGCTTCTATTCTCCACGTACTTGGGCAGTAGTGTGGGTGCCCTCCAGGCAGAAAAGGAAACAGATTGATGATGTCCAAGCAATATCTATCATTTTCTTGTCACACACTGGGTTCCCAATAATGCTCACCTGCCACAAAGAGCAAAAGCCTCCTTGAGCTCCCTCACCTTAAACTTTCAGTTCTGGAACCAAACTTTCATGTGACTCTGGGAAAGACTTTTTTATCAGGCTGGAAACCCATGTGGACAGCTAGTTGATCAACAGGCTTTTTTTCCAGGCTTAAAAGATTTAGAGGCACTAGAAAGGAAGAAGAGGTAGGTGTCCCATGGCCTCCACTAGGAAAAGGTAGAGAGGCACTCATGTCTTGAGTCACTAATGAAGCAGCCTTTCCTAAACGTTATGGCAGTCTGTATCTTATTGCAAGACTGACAGACTGAATGCCCAGCAGTAAATTGAATAGATAGCAAAAGACAGGTACATGCTGTTACATGTGTTAAGAATTAAGATGAACTGGGGGATAGCTTAGTCATCAAGGTGCTTGCCTCACAGACACGAGGACTTTCATTTAGATCCCCACGTGCCAAGCCAAGTGTGGCACTGCGCATCTGGAAGCTCCGTGAAGATTAGCCTACTAACTCACACCACCTGCCTAATGCTGCCAAACTGGTGAGCTCCAGGCTCACCAAGAGACTCTGTCTCAAAAGACAAGGTGAGGAAGACAACATCTGGTGACCTCTGGCCTCCTCACACACATGCTCCCATAGACACTTGGCACCGACATGTGCTAAGTAAGTGAAACAAATATTAAAATAATTAATCTCTTAATTTCAGCAAAATAGGTACTTTTTATGGACTTGGATATTTCAGTTCAATATAGTTTGTGGTCTATATAACCAAATATGTGTCTTCAGTTAGCATCCACAATTAGCTACAAAAAAGCCTTGTTTCGTATGTGGTGAGTTTACTAGACTGTTTTCAATTATTTTCTATGTATTTGAAATTTGTTTGGATGCTAGAGCAAAGAAATTTAAACATCTCTTGAAGCTTTGGATTCATTTAATAATCAAAAGTTAGATATTGTTTTAAGTATGGGATGAAACGCTATATTTTTAAAATACAAGTACTCTGGTTGTAATGATTAAAATTATTGTAGTTACTATCGATCATATTACTTATAGGAAAAGTGTATTTATTTAGCCAAATAGATCTTTCAGAAGTAGCACCTCCATTGTTAAAAAGAACTAGATACTTTTCCTGAGTGGCATGATATTGTAAGCCACGAATTGAGTTCATCTCCTTGTAATCAACTTCATGTTACTATAACAAGTACTCAGACATACAACTTACAAAGAAAATCAATTTATTTTGGATTACAGCTTTGGCGGCTTCAATCCAAGATTCATTGGCCATGTTGCTTTGGGCCTATGGTAAGGCAGTGCACCGTGGCATATGGTGTGGAAGAGCAAACTCTCTAACTTCAAGGCCAGGAAGAAAAGGAGAGGCAAGAAGAGAACAGGCTCCCACAATTCCCTTTGTGTTTGCATGACCAGTGACCAGAGGATATCCCATTACGCCCCAACTCCTAGAGGCCCACCACCTCCCAGTGGCGCTGTGTTGTGGATGAAGCATTTTCCATGTGAGCCTTTGGTGACAGTCCAGTTCAAGCACTAGCAACTGCTGTTATGGCTGCATGGAATTGAGAGGTTGGCAGGACTAAGTCTGGGAGATTCAGCCAGAAAAGTAGTGCTCAAGGGAATGTGGAGCCCAAGGAAACCATGAGGAGGTGTAAAGGTTGGAAGGGGTCCTCAGAACGGAGCCAGCCTTGCCCCCGAGGTCAGAACAGAGGACAGGACACATCCTAGCACAGGTCTGTCTTCCAGATGTGGGGTGTCGGGGGCAGGAAGGTGGAGAAAGACAGACTGACTAAGCTGACTCCAGAAGTGTCAGATTGCAGTCAAGACAGCAGGCAAGTGAATTGGTTTCAACAAATAACCAGGTAAGTCATTGCAAGTGAATTACTTGAAATTCATAAAGCAACTCATTCCAAGGGAAGGGAACTATAACCGGTTTAATGGTTACAAATACATCAACGTCCAGGAACGCGGTAAAAGAGCTGTCGAATTTATAGGCAAAGTGACAAAGCATTGTTATGATGCCATTGCTTCCTGCATGCCATCATTGGATTTGTTCATTGTTAGAATCACACTTCCAGTGTGAACATGAAAGCTAAAGTGCTATATTCTAGAAAATGTACATCTTGGGACTCACAGTGAATTGTTTTAGCATGCAAATAAAAGTATACTAATTGCCCTTGTTGGCAGTCATAGATTTCTTACAATTTAAAAAAAAAAATCTGAATCCAAATTAATTGGCCTTGAACCTATTCCAACAGCATTTTAATTATTCACTAATTAACAATTCTCAAAGGCAACTTTAACACTAGTATGTCTCTAAGAGCATGCCTCTTCAGCACTATATAATAATTTCATACAATATTCATATTAGCCCAAATTTTCTCTGAGGTCTTTATAAATGTATACAATGTGGTTTTTGTATTCAGAAGATAACCTTAAAATTCTGTGAATATGCAGAATACCATTTGCATGATAAATACGTGTATTCACCAAACACCTTGTTCTTCTCAGTATAGTTTCAGTGCATCTGATGTTAGTTTTTAAAAATGAACACTATGCGTGCCTGCATGTATACATGTGTATACATGTGTGTATGTGAGTGTGTAGCTGTGCACAAACCTAGTCTTTCCATATGTAAAAGTGTATTGGAAAAACGTGTACCAGCGTGAGAACTGTGCTGTGTCAGCGCTCAGCGCACATAGCCATGGAAACATTGATCACAGTAAACATTCAACATAAGAAGACAATTGAAAATGAGAGAAAAATGTAAATAGTGCTAAACAATAACAGAATTTGCTTCAGCATTAGGTTGGGCTTCTGTGGCTGGAAATGTTTTGGAGGAATGATAATGGAACAAGGAAGGGGAGTCCCACACAGGGTCACTTTGGTTGAGGGTTTGGTTTTCGTATTGTTGTTGGGTTTCTGTTTGGTTGGTTTTAGTTTATTTTGGGGGGGGGCAGGGTTTCTTTGTTTAACAGCCCTGGCTGTCCTGGAACTCAGTAGACCAGGCTGGCCTCGAACTCACAGAGATCCCCCTGCCTCTGCCTCCCAAGTGCTGGGTTCACAGGCCTGTGCCACCACTGTCTGGGCACTTTGGTTAAGCTTTGAGGGGAATTTTAGAGGTGGCATCCTGGTCAGAGCCAGGGGTCTGGAGTGTTTATGATCATCTGTTGTGACACAGCCCAGTTTGGGGGTAGGGGAAGGTGTCTGGGAATTTCCAAGCATCTTGCCATCTGTGCTGGCAGGTGGCTGGAGAGCAGCTTCCAACAGATCTGTGAATGCCAATTCTTGGGGCTGAAGGTGGATCCAGTGTGGTCAGTTTGCCTGGAAATGTTTCCGGTAAGCAGATAGAAGGAGAATGCATTTGGTCACCTCTGCTGTGGTGACAGTGGACTGGCTGTGACTGCTGCATTAATTATGGGCAACTATTGCTGTGCTGGCATAGCAGAGAGCAAACAGCCTCTGCCCATACAGCATCTACTCAGGGACAGTTTAGCCTCAGTCCACTGTCACCTGTGACCAGGTAAGCCCATCTACTGGTGTTCTGCAGAAGGAAGCCACTTGTTTGGAGAGAGAAAACACACTCTATAGCACCAAATTGTTAGTAACAAAGGTGACATTTTGACCTCCATTTTCTTTTTTTTTTTTTTTAATATCGTATTTGACTTTATGTGTGTGAAGGTGTCAGGAACTGGAGTCACAGACAGCTGCGAGCTGCCGTGTGGGTGCTAGGAATTGAACCCGGATCCTCT